TGCCACTAAGACGCAAGGGCCTACAGGAAGTTAAAGAGAATGAAAAATTTTTAGAAGAGCCCGAAAACGCAATCCTAAACAGGAAGCAAGGGATAAACCTCTACTCCTGTTCGAAACAACGGGGAGGGCTGTGAACCGGGCGTTAAATGAATCTACATCCTTGTGCAAATTAATTCAAACAAAACGAATAATTTCGTTATTTATTTTTTTGTTGTATTTTTCTAATGAAACATGCCCCAGTGCACATGTTAGCACTTCATATGTCCATTACATGAAGTCGTTCGTTGCAGATTGACCACAGATTCTTGATTGGATTTAAATCAAGAGAGTTTCCGGGCTAGTCTATAGTACTTTTATTTGCTCACTGGTAAGGCTTGCCCGTGTATTTGTGCAACGTTATAATTTTCGTACGCTTCCTTGGAGTAAAGTCCATCGCAGACAATGACAGTAGGACAACTAATCCGCAATCAAGACAATAGTGTCTGGGTGTAATCAAAATCTGATACAATCACGGATGAGGCAATATTTTTCAAAGCCAAACAAATTTCATCATACAAGCCGAAAATACATTCATATTATTGCACACCACTGCAAATGACCTAATCTGAGGAAAATTAAAAATCTATTACATCCTGTGATTCCAGTGGGTCTAAAACTGACCGTATGGTGAATGAAAGGAAATTAAAGTGTTTGTTTCAATTAATTTTCACAAGGGTGTATCTACTCCTATTGAGGAAAAAATAAATAGTGAATAAAATGGCAGATTTTAAGCGGGGACGTTAGAAAAAAAATAGCGTTGAAGTAGACTTTAGAAGGAACCGGAAAGTCAGTCCTAAACAGGAAACCTCTACTGCGGTTCAAAAGACCGGGTAGGAGTGTGGACATCTGCAACGTTCCCGTGGTACACGAAGAAGATGGTAGTGAAATAAAATAGCCATTGAACAAAACGCAGATGAAGATTGGAAGGAATCCATAGAGAGAATAATCTCTCACCAGAATCGGACAGTAATTTCACAAATGTGGACCACTATTGAATGAAGGTGAACTGTTAGTTTGGGATAGGACCACTCATACACCTAGAAAGGCTGAAGAATACTGCTGTCGAAAAAAAAAAGTTTCTCAGTTCTTTGAAGACATGTCTTTTAATAGCTCTAACTTTTTTTCTGACTTTTGATTATCTTTTTTCAGATAAATGATAAGAAACATCAAACAAATTTATAAGCCTATTCGCCCTTGCTTTGAATATTGTTACCACATATGACCTGATACTCCTGATATACATTTATAGATTTCTGATAAAATCCAAAGACAACTCGGCACTGTTTTGGTTCTGACCTGGAATCCTGGCTTCAGTTATTTTTCCATTCCCGTAATGTAGCTTCCCTGTGCCTTTTCTATAAATACTTTCATGTTAATTCTTCTGACGAATCTTCTTCTATGGTACCTAGACTTTATGAATTTAAGCGAAGTACTATATTGACGAAAAGTTTTCATCAAGTTTTGAAATGGCTAGATAGAACCGTAAGTTCTATCATAACAGTTTCTTCTATCATACGTCTCGCTTGTGGAACACTCTTCCCGCTTTTTTTCCTTCCTAGTCAACTTTCATCTTCAGAACTTTAATTGTTTCTTTTACTTTAAAAAAACAAAAAACATACATCATTTCAAGACGTTTTTTAAGAAATGCAGGGTGGCCCCAAACTTTTGCCTGTAGTCTAGATCCAAAAATAGAGACCTGGGAGACACTTGCATCAATGCAAAAAGATCTGGAAGAGTGGCCATTCAAGACAACTTTCATTTCGCGATTTGATAAGAAAGACTGAATCAGTCCAGAAATAACTTTCAAGTTATGAAGAAACCTTGTCAAATGCCTTCGAGATATCGAAGCAACATTCTTAACTAAATGTTTCAGCAATAATCGTTAATATATCAGCAATTGACGTAGAGAAACGAAAGCAATATTACTTACTTGAAAGAAGACCCTGGGAGGTGAGATGCTTAACTAATCTAGAATTGATTAAAGCATCCCGGACTTTAGAAAAAGAGGTAGAAGGAGAGTAGGGGGAAATATTAGAAGGATCAGATGGTTCTCCTGGGTTGTTAGACTAGGATTGCAGAAGAGGACTCCTAATAAGCAGAAAAGCAAGTAGTAGGACATTTATTGTAGAGTTTAGAGAGAACAGGGGTAAGTAACACATGTTTTGTGAGTATCAAGTTTAGAGATGAAACTTTTGCTTCAAATCTTTAAATCCAAGAATAGAAAACCTGAGAAACCCCTGCATTTATGCAAAAAGATCGAGAAGAGTGGCCATTCAAGACAACTTTCTTTTTGCGATTTGATAAAAGAGGCTGAATCAGTTAAAAAATTCGCCCAGAAATACCATAACCTTACAACTTGTGTAAAAACATGTATACCAAACCCTGTGAAATTCCTTCAATCTATCCAAATCAATAGAGTGAGCCTCATTTTTATCTAAGCTTGATAGACTTTTTTCAGCAATAATCGTTGACATATCAACAGTTGGCCAAGAGAATGCATATTACTTATCTGAAAGAAAACTCTGCGAGGTGGGATGCTTAACTAACTGAGAGTTAATTAGAGAATCTAGTACTTTGTTCCAAAAGCGGTAAAACGCTAATAGACCGATAGTTAGAACGATCAAACGGTTCGCCTGAGTTCTCAAAGACTGGAACAACAAAAGAGGATTTCACGATTTGATAAGAAAAATTCAAAAATCCGTCCAGAAATACCATAACCTTTCCAACTTGTGTAAAGAACCTGTATACCAAAGCCCGAGAAATTCCTTCGTTCTATCAAAAGCAACAGACCGAGCTTCATTCTTGTCTAAAGCTTGATAGACTCTTTCAGACCGAGCTTCATTCTTGTCTAAAGCTTGATAGACTCTTTCAGACCGAGCTTCATTCTTGTCTAAAGCTTGATAGACTCTTTCAGCAATAATTGTTAATATGTCAGCTGTTGACCTAGAGAGGCGGAAGTCGTATTACTTATCTGAAAGAAGACTCTGTAGGTGTGATGCTTAACTAATTTAGAATTGATTAAAGCCTCCCGAACTTTACAAAAAAAAGGTAGAAAGACAGTAGGGGGGAATATTAGACGGATCAGATGGTTCTCCTGGATTTTTAGACTGGGATTGCAGAAGAAGATTTTGTTGGAATTTTTTGGGGTACCCTGGTGTACTAGTGAGCCAGCCAAAATGAGCTGACTCATTTTATAGTTCACCAATAGAGGGGTTAACCAATCAGAAGGCTCAAAATATTCAATGCGACGTGTATAAAGGCGGCCATGTTTTTTTCCCGAATATTTACTGGAAGCCTTTGATATCGAAGACGGAAGAATTACGGAAGAGCTGCTGGTGGTATTGGCGATAGAGTCAGATTCAGTAGAGTGTCTGACTCGTAAGTGTTAATCTTTAACGTTGTTTCATTGAACAGATTAAGTACTGCGCTGTATTCTATATTCATAGACTATGGTGAACATGGTCAACAGATTTCCAATAAGCAGAAAAGCAAGAAAACAGTAGGGCATTTATTGTAGAATTTAGAGAGAACAGGTGTAAGTTTTGTGAGCATCAAGTTTACAGATGATAGGAGAAATCATGGACGGAGTTATATGCATATCACCCAATAGACTCTCAAGTCAGGTAAAGATACTCCAGTTGAGACAAGAGTAGAATTTGAAGATAATTTACATTCTGATTTATCAGCAGGAATTGTTAATTCCTCAAATTGAATAAAGAGAGTGGGGATAGATGACTTACTCTTATATTTAATTCTATTACAGAGCCTTCAGTAGTCACAGGAACCAAACATGATTGAGGCTATACGGTACCTCACTCTATCAGCAAACAAATACTTAGCCTATTTGAGGACATGTTTACAGTTATTGTGGACAAACACAAATAGGTGTCTGCCGTGATCGGATCCCTCACACTGGTATATCCGGAAAAAAAGTGATTCCTGTGCAACTGAACAGGCCGATTTGAACCAAAAAGAAGATTGTGGTTTCACTGGGTATTCCCGAGATGATACAAAAGTATCAATGCCGGCTTTAACCCAAGAACAAACCTCCGTAGCACACTTCTCAACAGGAAAGTTAAGAATATCAATCAAAGGGGCGTCTTGAATAAAGACACAATATGAATCCCAATCATTACGCTGGTAGCAGAAATAAGTACTGTGTATAGGCGATTCCTTTTTAATAGACGGCTCAAAAGAAATATCAACAGATACTACGGTTTGATCCGAATTACCAAGAGGACAAAGTTGTGATGCTTGACAAGGGCTAGGAGATGAGTAGGTAAGGAAAAAATAAAATAAGGATGAACAGATTTATTTGGAAACAAATCGAGAAATCCACTATTTGACTCAGATATTAAGCAATGGAAAAATGAAAGTCTGAATACTGGTAAATAAACCTGTAACAGAATGTTTAAGGAACTTGTTAAGCTATAATATTATAATAACATATAATAACATTAAGTTATTTTCTATCTCTATCTCAATCAATTCTTATCTATCTAACGATATCGATTTATCTCAGTCTGTTCATATCTATCTATCTATATATATATATAATTAAGTTATCTATCTATCTATCTATCTCAGTTTCATTAATCAGTAGGCTGGTAATGCTTCTAGAGCAGTTTCAAGATTATTCATGACAATTCTTTTCACAAATAAACCTCTTCTTGTATGACGTATGCGTCTGTTACTAAATTTATACAAATGTACTGAAAGAACTGGGCCACACTGTATATGGGTACAAAAGTTTCATTGTTTCTATTATAGAAAAATTCTTCAAAAATGTGAATCAATAAAAACAATTAATATTCTGATAATAAATATCGATTTATGTCGTTTTTGGAAAGTTTTATTGAAGCTGACTACTAACTGAATATATCAGTTGAAGAATATAAGTATTGGTTACTTTGCCATATCGCACAGATCCGTTTTCTCTTTATTTAGAAGTACCAGTCTACAATTGTCGGATACTGCTACACAGTCATCGAATTGAATTACTCCTGCACTTGCACCAATTCTGTAAAAACGGGGAAAAAAAGAAAAAAAAAACAACAGAAAATAGGAATTAATTTTATGCAACTGCATGTGTTCATAGAATTCTACTTTTTCAGAATCAATTTAATCAAGCTTTGCTTATTTTTTTTTTATTTGCATTGCATACATCTTTGTATTTTCAATTAACTGGAACTGTTTGCAACATGCTGTCACGTGTTGAGACCCTTACAGTATTTTGGTATTGTTGAAGTTATCGGTAACATTTTTTGTCGAGGTTTAAAAACTCTACATTTCGTTCAATTTCGCAAACCAATCCGTGAATTTTGAATAAGCTGATTTGTTTGGGAAAATACTTTGACAAAAACCCCTACTTTGCGGTTTAATAATTTTTTTTAATTCAATTTAATTTTATAGGACTTCACGGTAAACAATAATTTTAAGAAAATTTATTTTTTCATTTTGCCTTCTTAACAGCGAAGAATTACATTCTTAGGATTTCTTACTCTTGAACATGTAACATACAACTGACTTTGCGTAAATATTTCTTTCTAGAGCCAAATTCCAACTTTTTTAAGTGTTTGGC